TGGGGCAAATAGTCACATAAAGTTAAAAAACAACGACTGGCCAGCTCACTCATTGTAAAAGTCCATAGTATGGGCAGGCAATCGGAAAAAATGCATCCAAGGCACTCTGACTTTAGTTAAAAATTCTTTATTAATACATGGATAAACCAACGCATTTCGACTAGAAAGTCCTCATCAGGGTGTGAGTCCTGCATAGAATTCTCCCTTAATGAAGGCTATAATGTGCAATTCTTGTTGTTTTAGAAAGGTTTTGATCCAAATGATACATTTTTAGGATGTAGGTGATGTTGAACTGTACTGCATTATACTGACAGGTGTCTCTGTTATTTTGTTCATCCCATTTAATAAACAAAAATTGAAGTGCAAAACGTTTGGTTTTGCTCCCATTTTGCATTTACAGTTTTAAGTTGAATAGCTAATTCTTTTTTGTACACACAATGGATGCATTTCTCTCAAATTTTGGTAGCATATTAATTAAAATTGATGTTAGTAAGCACTTTTCTTTTTCCAAGATAATCCATCCACCTGACAGAAGTAGCATAATAATAATAAAAGGTCCCTCTAATATGTGCAGTTCTGTCATACAACATAATGCCACATATGTCACAAGTTTCGAGGCACTGGCATGCTGACTGCACAAATGTCCACCAGAGCTGTTGCCGCCGAACTGAATAGAAATTTCACTGCCATTAGCAGTCTCAGATGTTGTTTCTGTGGATCTAGCAGTATATCCAACTGGCCACACAACCACAGACAACATGTAACCACACCAGCCCAGGACCTCCACCTCCAGCGCTGTCACCTGTAAGATCATGTGAGACCAACCATCTGAACAGCTGATGCAACAGCTAGTTTGAGACAATAGGCGACACCAGACATGTCACCCGTTGAGCATGTTTGGGATTCTCTGGACCAGTGTATACGACACTGTGTTCCAATTCCATCCAATACCTTCAGCCATTGAGAAAGAGTGGGCCAACATTTTGCAGGCCACAGCCAACAACCTGATCAACTTTCTGTGGAGGAGATGTGTCATACTGCATGAGGCAAAGGCAAGTGGTGGTCACACTACATACTGACTGATTCTTTGGGTTTCTGTGGTGTTAGTCATATGAAATCCGAATTAATTTCTTTGCTCATTTTAGAGTGGCATTTTATTATGAACAAGGCACACCTGTGTAGTAATCATGCTGTTTAATCAGCACCTTGATATGCCACACCTGTCAGGTGGGTGGATTGTCTTGCAAAAAGGACAAGTGCTCACTTACACAAGTTTAAACCAATTTGCAACCAAAATTAGAGAGAGAAATATATCAATTGAGAACATAAAAAAAGTCTTAGCTCTTTGATTTAAACCTGTGAAAAATGGCAGTAAAAACAAAAGTGTAGTATTATCTACATACATGTAATTGAGCTAAGTAGCAGTGAATAGTAGGTAAGGCCTTTTCTATGTAGGGGAATAAGTAGCAGACAATAAATCAATGACCAAATAAAAAGTATGACACCTCTGAAGGAAGATCCAGGACAGTTTATGTTGTGCTGCAGAGTCAACAGATCCTCAGACTCCCTGAGCCCACTGGACGTCCTCATGTTAACTCCAGTTGTCCAGTTGTCTTTTGTTAATCAGCCATCCAGCCCCTCAGAGACTAAAAGCCAAATCAAAGAAGCACTCCAGACAATGACAGCTGCGCCAATGAAAACCAGAGGTAATTTCCAATGCATGTCCACAATTCACTTAAATCACTCCGACACCGGCCCATCAGAGCTGTGGGCAATTATTGCAACCCCCCTGTCTCCCCTGGGACCCTGTTACTTTCTCTCTAGCCCCCCTGCATTCAGGATATGCCTCTTTCCCCACCCCCACTGCCAAGATATTATCTAATGCTGGTTTTTACCTACAGGCAAAAATGCATAGGCGGCATGACAATATATATACACCAATACATACACCACTACGGGCAGCATGTGTCATTAAATTATTGAGAAACATTAAGGAGAAAAAAAAGAAAATGTCCAGAGCATCATTACGTGCTTGGCTCTGCTCTGTTGTGAGTGGGAGGTCATTATTTCTGTGTTTAATTCAGTGGGAAATTTGCTCACTGACAAATTAATTCAGCATTTAAAGCAATGTGCTCTCTCTGCACTCTAAAAAAATAATTTGTAAGAGCCATTCTTTATTCTGATTTTTTACACTAATTTATTTTTATAAATGTAGCGAATTCATGGATAGATGTTTTAACTGTCACCTCAACATCACCAAACATTTTAAAATAAATATATTTCTCCTTGTGTTTATTTTTTTCATTTCAAGTTTTGCTTCCTATACAATACTTGACATCATAAAAACCATTATATAAAATAAGAATGCCACACAAAAAGTGAGTACTAGCATGGTTACAAAGAAAAGAAGAGCTCCTGGCTACAGGATATTTTGTCCCAGCAAATTCACACCCAGTGAACTCACTTCTTTGATTTGTTTGTTACAAGTTTGTCATATTTATTTGTACACCAAACTGATTTAGTGGACAGCAGTGAAGGTAACTGAGCTGCACGGCACATGTATTGCTCACCACTTAGCCATGGGGAGTGACACAGTGAACTACGAGAGAGATAAGTAGGCGGATACAATAGAAATTAATTCAGCATGTTTAAGTGCAGCTGCCTGGTCACCAGTGAGCAGGTGCCACCCCCACCCGCCTCCATCCATCCATCCATTCCTTCATCTATACGCCCCTCCATTTCATCCATGTAGCTACACTTTGTTTGACATGCTTTAATAAATCATCCTGTTTTATTGTATGAATTATGACCTCGTGGTGCCAGTTCAAGATGATGGTGATGGTGATGGTCCGTCCCTCCATCTCTCCATCTTAAGCTACGAACACTTGGCCCTCCTCTTCCGCTTAATCCCTTCAACAGTTCTTTTGTCATGTTAACCCTCCATCTCCATGCAGAGGCAGACTTGACCATCAGGCAAAAACAACGCCTGTCTTGGGCCCATTCACTAACAGAAATGGACCCCCAAAAGCATATGCTAAAAAAAAATAGAGGAAAAAAAGATTAATGTGCATCTGCAAGAGACAGTCTTTCAGTTGGCTAACACTGAGAGCATTTTAAGGAAATCTTGGGGATTTAATGACCCATAGAGGAATTTAAAAGCTATAATTAAACAGAAATGACTTTCAAGGGATTTTAAAGTCTTTTTTTCGATGTGTTGGATAAAATATCTTTACATTTTTTTATGTTTTGAGGCCAAAATATGAAATCAAACTGAAATATAATTAAAGGATTCAGTACTTTTTTCATAGCAGTGTAAACAAGGCTTTGAAACATCATTTAAAGTGTCATGCATGCAAATAGAATTTACAGAAAATATTATTGAATAATTTAGTTAATATATGAATGAGAAGACATTTTAAAAAAAGTCATATGATATTTTTTTTTGCTGGCCAATCAAAACGTTCTAAGTGGTAGGTTTGTCATTAGTGTTACAGCCTTTAACCTTTATACAGTAAAATAAGGTCAGTGATGTTGATCATCATATCCTAAATATGTAATAAACCTTTTCATCCATTACTCTTTGATCTACAAATCACCAAATCAGGCCTTAATGTTTGCATCTAGTAATCCATTACAGATCATAAACTTTAATTCAGTCCATGTTTCTACAGAGAATATATTAAAACGGTCATGGATCGATTACTGAACAGGCCTATCGGGCACAGGCCCAGTGGTCCAAAGTGTCAGGGGACCCTGTTCACCTGCAAAATGGCACTCAAATTACCAATTACCAACCTCAAAGAGATTCAAAATGACCACAAAGGGGCACAAGAAGACCACAAAGAGATGCAGCGGAACTACAAAGAGACACAAAACAACCACAAAAAGACAAAAAAACACCAAAGAAAACATACATACACCTCAAAAACACAAATATACCTATACACAAATACACTTCAAAGAGACACAAAACACCTACAAACACATGCAGAAAAACGACAGCAACACAAAACGACCACAAAAGACAAAGTCAACCAAAGAAAACACAAATACCCCAAAGAGACACAAAATGACCAAAGAAGACACAAGTATACCTAAAAAAAAACACAAAATGACTTCAAAGAGATGGAAAAGAACTACAGAGACACAAAGTGACTACAAAGAAACACATAATGACAAATATATTTCAGAGGGACACAAAACAACTACAAAGAGATGCAAAGGATCTAAAAAGAGACACAAAACAACCTAAAAAGACACAAATATACCTCAAAGAGACACAAAAAACGTCAGGGAGACTCAAAGAGACTGCAAAGAGATTCAAAGGAACTACAAAGAGACACAAAATGACCAAAAATGACACAGATATACCACAAAGAGACACAAAATTACTACCAAGAGATGCAAAAGATCTACAGAAACACAAAGTGACTACAAGGAAACACAAAATGACCAAATACATTGACAAATATACTTCAAAGAGACACAAAACAACTACAAAGAGATGCCAAGGATCTAAAAAGAGACACAAAACAACCAAGAAAGACACAAATATACCTCAAAGAGACACAGAAAGACTTTAAAGAGACTCAAAGAGAATACCAAGAGATTCAAAGGAACTACAAAGAGACACAAAATGACCAAAGAAGACACAAATATACCACAAAGAGACACAAAACAAACAAATAAAGAGGCAAAACCACTGCACAGTCTGTGTCTTGCCCCTGTGTTTGAGAGATGGTGGGGCCTTTTGCATATCTGTGCCCAGGGGCCCATTGTCTCACAATCCGCCCCTGTGAACAATGGGAACAAATGTACTCAACAATCTAAAACTATGTAACATGTAGTTAAAAAAAAATCCACAAAAATGTTGAAAATGAAAATATATAGGATTTAGGAGCTAAAATCTGTAAACACATGGTCCTTTATGGGACAATAGGGAAGGACAAGGGTGTAATTGAGGCCCCCTAATTTTGCCTCAGGCCTCCAGATCCCAGAGTCCACCCCCATCTTCATGCCTCCACCCTTCATCTTATAGCTCTCCTCCCTTCACCCCTGTCCATGTGAGTTGCCTCCCCTCACCTCAGCATCCTCTCTCCACCCCTCCAGCCACTCTCCCCCTTTCCACTTTCGTTTTCTGGCCTCTACAGCTATTCTCCATCCTTCTGCCACCAATTGCCCTCGCTCCCTGCATCCCTTTTCATATCTGTTGCCTTTTCATCTCACACTCCACCCCCTCCTCCCACCACCACCTCCTCCCCTCCCTTTCCCCCCCGCCGGTGGCGTCCATACACCGACCGGAGCACAGACTCTCTTGTTGTCAGTCACTTTCCCAGCGAACAGACGGCGGCAGCAACAGCAGCAGCAGGAGGAGCGGAGACGGTAATCCCCCCCAGTCCACCCCACCCCTTTCCAAAAACCCAGAAACCGGTGGCAAAACCTCGCGGGACACCTGTGCTGCCGGATACCCCCCTTTTTTTCTGGAGGCTTTGTGAAACACGATTTAAGATCTAAATTCACGCCCAAATGTGTGGATGGTGAAGATGAGCAGCAGTGGCGATTAAGACGGGGATGTAGACGCGGAAACAAGCGGCCAAATCTGCCTCGATTGACGGTGACGGAGCGGTCGGCGGCACCACCACCAGCAGCAGCACCAGCAGCATCAGTCGGTCGGCGGATGGAGATGCGTTGTGAAGGCGGAGGGATGATGATGATGATGATGATGATGATGATATAGCAGGTGCTGCAGGGTCGTGCCGCATTGCCTGGCCGCCGCGAGCGACGCCGGGGAGACGGTGATGCTGTCGTCGTCATTGTGTCACAGAAAGAGAGAGAAAGAGAGGAGAGGCTTTGACATGGAGGGAAGCGGCTGTGTGTCGGCTCCGAGCTCAGGCCGCCCGGATCAGCAGGTTGGATGTACCGCCTGAAGCCTGGAGGACCTGAGTCATGATATACATGGTGGAAAAATTACAATAAAGTTGCATTCTTTGTGATGGAATTGAAATGTTTCTGTGCGTAAAAGTGCATGGCCCATATGTTGATAATGCACAGGAGCATCACAGCAGCAGCGTCTGTGCCAGTTCAGGGTGGATTACGTCTACAGAGCAGCAGGCCTCCATCTGAAGTGAGCTTCTGATCAGGGAACCATAAAGAAAAAGCATTTCATACACTTAACCCTGTTGCTGGAGGTAACTATTTATTCTGTTGTTTCACTGGAAGCTGCTGTGCTGTGGTCCCCCGTGGAGGGACAGCTGTTGCAAAAGATGACTCACTTACAGGCTGGCCTCTCTCCAGAGACCCTGGAGAAGGCCAAGGTGGAGCTGAAGGAAAACCCGGAGACTTTACACCAGGACATCCAGGAGGTCCGGGACATGATCATCACCCGGCCGGACATCGGGTTCCTCAGGACAGACGACGCGTTTATCCTCAGATTCCTCCGGGCAAGGAAATTCAACCACTTCGAGGCGTTTCGGCTGCTGGCACAGTATTTTGAGTACCGACAGCAGAACCTGGACATGTTCAAGAATCTGAAAGCGACGGACCCAGGCATCAAACAGGCCCTGAAGGACGGGTTCCCTGGGGTGCTCTCCAATCTGGATAGATACGGCAGGAAAATACTGGTCCTGTTCGCAGCCAACTGGGACCAGAGCAGGTAATAAAGAGGCAGAGGGTTGGGGCTGGTGGCGATGAGGCTGCCAAGTCTGTGCTTAGGTTATCTGATCAGACATATAAAGAGAAACACATAAAGAATAAAGAAGAGGCAGTGTTATAAAGTCCACTATAACTCAGTGGAGTCTGGTTTATGGAGCTGTCCATTCAGCACCACATAATCTATTAGAAAACTACAGGACACTAACCTATCTTTCTTGTTTAATCAGCTGTAGGGCAAAACACACTACATGACCAAAAGTATGTGGACACCCAAACACAGACTATAATCTGCTGTTAAAACTGCCTCTGGTTTTAGTTTTGCCACGAGATGCTGAACCTGGGATTTGCTCCCTTTCAGGCACAAGAGCATTAGTGAGGTCCAACACTGATGCTGGGTGATACAGCCTGGCTCACAGTTGGCTTTCCAGTTCAGCTCAAAGGTGTTGGATGGGGTTGAGGTTAGGGGTCTGTGCAGGCCAGTCAAATTCTTCCATACCAAACAGGGAAAAGACAAGTCAGTTTTATTTATAGCCCAAATCACAAAATTTGCCTCAAATAGCTACCCCACAAAATACCCATTACAGTGGAGATAAGGAGATCTCAGGAAGAGCAAAAGAGGAGGAATACTTCCTCCAGGTCAAAGGTGTTGTATGTCAACAGAAAGAACAACAAATGACAAAATTAAAACCACTTCTTTATGAACCTGGCTTTATTTGCATGGGCATTACCGTGTTGAAATAAACTGTTACCCCAAAGCTGGAAGCACACTATCGTATAAAACACCAGTTACCAACCTGGGGGTCCTGACCCCCACTTGGGTCGCCAAAGCTTCATAGGGGGTCACAAGGCCTTCTTGATTTTAGGGGGTCTAAGAAAACCTAAAAAAACAAACAAACAAACAAAAAAAAAATACAGTAGGCCTATATCTCAGCATTTTATTCATTTTTTGTAGAGAAAACTAAATAAAATGTAGTTTTAAAATTTGAATTATTATTGAATAAAAATAATAAAAAGTATTTAAAACAGACAGAGTATTATATAAAAGTTCATAAAAATATCAGGAAGGCTCATCTCTGATGCAATATTCACAAGTAATCATCTGCTAAAAATCCATCCAAATTGCTTGTTTTACACAAACTTCCTGCCAAAACTGCGTGTAGTATTAGAGTTAATTATACAGTTAATCAGTTGTTCTGTACTGTGAATGTTATGCATTGAGTATACTTTATTGTCAGTTTACTTAATGATAGAAAACAGATCCCTTATGAAAAGAAACTGGGAGCCACTGGTCTAAAAAATGATTGTTTAGGGCCGCATTCAGACTTCTCTTAATAGGAGCTAAGAGATGTAGACTGACCTGTGGAAACAGCCCCAGACAGGTGCACAGGTGACAGCATGCCCACATACTTTTGGACATATACTGCACTTTTTTTTCTGTCAAAGTCATATTGTTTTTTTGAGTAATTTTAACCAATGTTTTCCAACCTTTTGACCTTTTAAACCCTTAAAATGAAGCATTAAACCACCTGTCACATGTTGCATATGCCACTGACTTTAAGTAGTTTCACCAAAGACTGATTTCCCCTCTATAAAAAGTTTTATTTGAATAGTGTTTCGAGGATAAAAGTACCCAGATTCACAAAAAACTCTCACACATTAAGGAAAAGTCAGAAAAATACATTAAATTTGTGTAGCAGTAGCAGCAGACCACCAAGATGAACTGTTGGGCCACTGCACATTCAGACAGTCCACTGCTGATACGTTTCTCTCTCATTAAGTAGCTCCAGTCTGCAGTGACTGGATCAGGGTTGGCTAAGGTTAAAGGTAGAAAAAGGGCCATTAGATAGGGACATGATTTAATTTGGCTTTAATAAAAGGATCGGACCTGGTTAGTGTTTGTGTAACTGGAGTTCTTTGAGATTTTGACCTTTTTGTCACCACATAATTCAGTCCAGAAACATCGGATTATCCAGACAAAGTGCCATTAGGCCTGATTATAGTGTTGTATATCTGATAAAAAAAAATCCCATAGTGCAGCCATCTTACTCTGTTATGACTGATCTAGAAAACAGACACTCCATAGGCTACAACAAAATCATTATGTAATAGGGAACAAAGTCCAATCATACGTGAATTTAATCATTAATGTTACCTCTCTGAACATGCATCAATTTGTAAAATCTCTTTCATGTCATGCTTGTTATTCATCTCATTCTTCCTCTATTCGACAAATTTCAGAAATACTTGTAGAGCTATTCTATGGTCGGTTGGATATCCCTGCTGTAGACTCAGCTTGTGTGTGCAGTTGTTCAGACTTATGTCTACTAAGCTGCCAATTAATCACATTATAAAACATATTTATTATCGCCACAGGGAGGTAAAAGATTTCTTGTTAGAGAACCACATAGAGGGAAAATGAAGAGGGAGACAATATAATGAGGGCAGTAGCAAACATGAAAAAACCTGACTGTTGAACAGGACATCGAAGTAAAAGCCCACGAGGATTCACTGAGGCAGCACGACAGGTAGCAGCAGCAGCCGCCACGGAAAGCAATTATAACGTGCAACTAAAACAACTAGCAGATATTTTTCAGCTTCTATGCAGTCTTCTCGTGACTGTAAATACCTCTGTAATGATTACCTCGGCTAAGGAGGTTATGTTTTCAGTGCAGCTTGTCTGTTTTTCAGCCAGATTACAGAAAAAACTACTGGCCTGATTTTCGTCAAACTTGGTGGAAAGGTGAAGCATGAGTCAGGGAGGAACCCATTATATTTTGGAGCGATCCCAATCATGGGGCGGATACACAAATTCATTTTCACTTTCGTTAACATTGTGAGGAAATTTGGCCTTAGTGGATTCAATGTGATGCATCTTGAAATCCAGTAAAGTTCAATAGTGACAAACAGGCAGGAAGAAGCCAGGACTATGGGCCTTGGTGGAAGTCTACGTTCTTCTAATTCAAGAATAAATTACACTACAATGAAGGTTATCAGTGATTTATACTGACAAACTCTGACTAAAAGATCCTGTTTCCATCTCTTTCAATGACATTTATGATATGAGATCAATTAACGATCCTTGTCAGGGGCTGCAACTAATGGTTACTTTCAGAATTGATTTAACTTTAATTAACCTTTTGTCCTTCCTGTAAAATTAGCCTTAAACGCCCATCCAAGGCAAAGCCAAATTAAACTCAGATCTGTTTATGAACCATTTGGAGCACATGGAGTCTGACGGCTAATTTGAAATGATGCAACAGCTGTCCACAATTTTGTAATTGTTTGTTTGTTGCTGCTGTGACAGAGCCGTTGATTGTACCTGCTGTTGAGATTGTATTTTGAGTCTTTTTTATCGGAAAATATGTTGCATGGGTAATTACTTTAACACAGCAGTTGTGCCTGTTGTTGGGTTGTTGGATTGTTAACAGCTCAGCCCTTTTTAAGAGGTTAATCGGTCGAATTAAAAAAAACAAACAAAATGCTAACGATAGCTTCTCTCAGCCCAAATTAGCATTTTCCATAATGCTTCTTTTGTCCAACCAAACTTCAACTATCTTCAATTTTAGACTATGTATGACAGAGAAAAGCAGAATGTTTGGCATTGTGACTGACACAATTAATTAAACATCAAAATAGTTGATTATTTTTATCGCGTAACCAAAAAATGACTTTTTGAGGCCGATATTTGAGAGTATGAAAAATGTTATTACATTATATTGGCTGACGTAACATAACCACATGGCATAAACAAACGATCTTGATACGGATGTAGCTTTTATTTTTTTTTAATTGTAACTAAAATACATTCTCAATTGGATATTTTACAGTTAAAAGATCAGCACCCTCTGGTGGACAAACTATGCAATGATGAAACTAAATCACCTAAACCTAAATTTGACATTTCTGTGCTGCAGTTTCTAACTCACATACATAACCACTGGCTGATTTACCAGTCTGGCTGTAATTAATTTTTGCCAGTTGACTTAAGTACCTTAATATTCCCTCCAGTTCTCTGGCAAATAAAAAATCCTGTTCCATTTTCCCCAGATACACATTTGTGGACATACTGAGGGCGATCCTGCTGTCCTTGGAATCTATGATAGAAGATCCAGAGCTGCAGGTCAATGGCTTCATCCTCATCATCGACTGGAGTAACTTCACCTTCAAGCAGGCATCCAAACTGACTCCCAGCATGCTGCGGCTGGCCATTGAGGGGCTGCAGGTAAGACGCTCAGCTCTCAGAAGGTTTTGTTGGTGATGGTGTTGTCATGGTTGGTTTAATCTGTGTAAACAAAATTCCGCAAAGGCAAAGGGAAAAAAAAAATAGATTTCAGAGGCGTTCAGGTTTCCATTTGTAGTCTGTTGAGTTGAGTTGACCAATCATGTTTGGGCAGCAGGTAAACAGTCTCTTACAGTGTAAAGAGATGGAAGGTATTAGCTGAAACACAATCGCCGAACCCATCGGCTATTGTCCTATGATGATTCAGCTTTATAGCATATAGCTTTTTTATTTATTTATCTGCATTCATGGCAAATATCTGTTCAGAGATTAGTCGATTAATCACACACAAAGAGGAAGTCTTGGCTCAGATATGCGCTTGCTACACCAGATCTCTTACAGTATTGATTACTGATGCCTCAAGAGGCTTATTGCGATCGGACCAATAGCCGATAACTACAAAAATTGCGGTTGGTTAACAGCTGGGTTTGAAAAATGTTGGACTTTGATACAAGTGTTTGTGGTTTGGTTTTCATTGCCTAAACTGAACCAAACCCTTTTTTTGGAAGTCCCTGACAAACTGTGTATGGTGTTAATGAGGTATAAGGACTAATTGGTAAAACAGTATATAAATTAACAAACATTTTACACATCATAAATATACTGGAGCTAAAGCTAAAGTATTTTTTCTCATTTGTTGAACTGATGCCACACTGCTGTATATTGTACTAGAGCTGAGGGGATTAGTCAGTTACAGTTATCTTGGATGCTACAATGATTTTGATAACCAAATCATTTAATAAAAGGGAAATATAAAACACTCCGCTGGTTTTTGTAATTGTAATTGTAAATTTAATATCAAATTTAATGAAATATCTCTGGGTTTTGGATTGTTGGTTGGTCAAAACAAACAATCTGAAGATGTCACTTTGGGGTTTAGGAGCATGAAAATACAATACAGATTAACTGATCTTGAAAAAAATGTTAGTTGCAGCTCTACTCTATACATTTTCCTAGTATTATCATAGCATCTAGAAATCTGCAGTCTTGACCCTCAGCAGGAGTATTGTATGTTTCCTGTCAGTGCCAGTGGCAGAACAAACCTCCAGCATCCACTCTGCAGTCAAAATGTTCCACTTAAGCACAAGTCAAGCACCGTGGCAAAGCCGTGAGCTTGTTTAAGGGAATAACGACATTTCCATTCTGATTACACACTGCTGGGTGTTTTTCTTACAAGGCTCGTTTGGCAGGTGATGATGCAAAAAAAAAAAAAAAGTGATATTTTAGTGGTTGTCAGTTTGGTTTTCCTTAGTTCTCGCTTCCTCTAATGAGGGTCCAGTTTTTCTCACGTGGCATGTAAAGAACAGAGAGATGAGATGTGACAGTGCTCATTGGAGTTGTATCTGCGACTGGAAGGTTTTTAAAGGCATAATGTGAAAACACATTATTCCTCTGTGTCGTCAGGACACTTTTAACGTTAACTTGAGTTACATGATAAAAGTGTACAGCTGTTCTCTGGTAACAAGCCAAACCCGAGAGGAAATGTCTTGCCTGTTTTGTGTGTGTGTGTGTGTGTGTGTTTGTGTGGATGTTTGTGTCGATGTGGTGGTGTTATTGCTTTCTCAACATCCTTGTGAATCATCTGCCAATTTGTGTTGGGCTCCATTAGTCAAAGTGAAATCTAAGGGGAAGTGTTTCTAGAGGGAAGTGTTGAGTAAGATGCAGTGTGGTCAAAAAGATTATCTGATGTGCTTGTGATGGATGCCAGACTGTCAAAGTTGGATTCCTTGAATTTTACACTGGATTTGAATCCTATATTTCTGTATTAAAGCTGTCAAAATAAGAGTAGGAAATCTTATCACTGAGGGTAAAAGACGGTGATTAGATTTAAGTTTTTTTTTGTGTGTGTGTGTGTGTGTGTATTTCATCTTTAACTTTACATTTAAAGCTCCTTCACAGACACAACAAAAATTTTGTATTCTTTTATTATTATTGGACCTGCATACAACCTGTTTATGGTTGTGAAGAATGTTAAACAATAAAGGTAGATGTTAATTAATTATTACTTATTTAGTACTAAATGAAATGTGAAGTACTAAAAGCAACGATATGCTACAATATGATAAGATACGATACGACACGGTGCAATGCGATGTGATACAAAGCGATGTGATGCGAATCAATGTGCAACGATGTGATGCGATACATTACAGTACAATACGTTACAATACATTACTATACGTTAGGATACTTAATGATACAATACCACATGACACAATACGATATGATGCCTTACGATGTGATGCGAATCGATACAATACGATACATTACAATACGATATAATATGATACAATACAGTACGTTACAATACATTACTATACGTTATGATATTTAATGATACAATACCATATGACACGATACGATATGATGCCTTACTATGTGATACGATACGATACATTACATAATGATAGGATATGATACAATACAGTACGTTACAATACATTACTATACGTTATGATACAATACGACATGACACGATACGATGTGATGCCTTACGATGTGATATGATACGATGCATTACAATACGATAGGATACAATACAATACAGTATGTTACATTACATTACCACACATCATGATAAGTTATGATACAATACGGTGTGGCACGATACAATACAATATGATGTATTACGATACAATGCAATACGTTGCAATACAATATATTTTGTATACCCTTAGGGAAATTTTTCTTTGGCTCAGTGTCACTGCATTTACTACATTTTAAGTGTTCATGTGTATTGTACATACGGTCAAGTGCTGTTACTAATAACCTTAAAACAAAAACACATACCCAAAAAAAAAAAACAGAAAAACATATTGCTAGCACCATGTGTCCGGACATTGAGATCGTTATTTAGGGAATATGGGGAGTCTAGCAAGCTGTTACAGGGCTATATTCACCTATTTAACATTGAGAGGGAACATTTTCACTCTGCAACTCAACCTTCCAGGAGGGTCTGGGGGGAGTTCCCCCTACAAAATACTTTCAGAAACTAAACAGCTAAATTAACCATTTTAGAGCTCTTTAAAACAAAAATCTTAAACCAGGATTTCAAAGTGTTAATGACTGAATGTGATCTTAGGGAGTCCCCAGTATATAATATAATTACTGCATAGACCTGTCACAATGTGTAACCTTTAATTTTTGTGGAAATCAGATGAAATTTAGGCCTTGGTTACAATATTTTTCATCGTGAGCTAAAGGAAAAAGAGCAGGACAATAAATCACAGTAACCAAACCAAACATAAATAAGTGTGAGCAATATACTCTCTTTTCTCTTGTCTTCCACTACACAGTAGGGTTCAAATAAATACTATATTTCTACATAAGGAAGTTCACACTGGACGTGGAAGCGCCGCAATGCGTGCCAGTTTTCCATGGAGTATTGCCAATTCCTTTCGGCACCCATGTTAATCAGTTGGGCTGTTCACACTGGACGTGCCGCAGCGCCGAGCTTTCCTGGCCAGCTCGCAATCTGTAGCGTCCAGCTTTAGAGTCTGGTCTATTTTTTCTGTGAGCATATCTGGCTAGAAAACCTACTGATGACCTATCATGAACGATGTAAAGAATATATTATGTATGATAATGATCTGATTCTTATAAATTATGGAATATGCATACCATGCTAACTTTTTCCACATATTTGTCAGTTGTATCTAAACATACAGTGACAGAGATGAGCAGACGCACACACATAAGCAGACAGTGACAGAGCTCCATGTGTGATTAGGAAAAACCAGAGGAGTTGAATCACTTGCTAGCGGCCCCGGGAAATGCACTTCTGGTGTGAACGGCCAGGCGACTGCTAGTGCAACTGACGTATTGGGGCGCTTCTGTCGTCCAGTGTGAACCTGGCATAAGCAGGATGCTTTGATACTTTTTCTATCTCCTCCACTTTCTGTAAGAATTACTTTTCTTGCAGTGTCAGTGCAGAGTTGAGGTGGTATGTTGGGAAAAATCTTTCACCGTTTTTATAGACTGAGGGAACAAACTGTAGACGCCAGCCAGTGCATCACTGTGACGAGTCCATATATAACACATTTCTGACGGCTCTCCAGACACAGATTAGAGCCTGAATTATTGATGGGAGCTATTAGCTGAGCCCTGAGTCATTCCCAACTGTGCAACCGCTCACACAAATGGTTGCTCATCATTTGGTGCAGAAAACAGCAGGAGGAAGCGTAATAGGGTGATTTGATTTGATTTGACAAATAAAATGCACAAACCACATCAATAAAATCATCAAGGAGAAAATCTAACTTATTTTCCACTGGGTGGGGAACCACATTTCAAGGTGGTAATGATGTTTATTTTCCTTATTGTCAACAAATCACATTTACCAACAAGTGTGTGTCTGAGAGCCTGATATAGCTTCTTCCTCTGTGCCATAGAGCTCCATTGTTGTCCAAAAACTATTAAAGACACATTAGTGAGCCTCACTGTTGCACTGGGTGACATGAACACATACTGTAGTTTATTTTGACTCAGTCCCACATACACCATCCTGCTGCCACATATACTCACTAGAGCACCAAATGTGGATTGATCCGCCGCTGAAAATAGTCCCCAACAAATACATTATTTTCTCGCCTTTCTCATTTATTTTATGAATATATTTTTTACTCCTCAGTGGGCTTGAAGCTGATAAGTCGAGGGACTAATGCATTGTTGGTTTTTATCTTCTCATGGGATTTCTTGGAAGTGTTAAAAATGTTGATTAGTTGAAATATTATAGGCTAAAGCCAGTCTCATCCTTCAAAGATGAATTTCATTTTCATTGTTGTTACATGATTAAAAAATAACAGAGAAAAAGGTCTGTGGCATTCACTTCACTTGCTCAAGAAGCAGAAAATGTACAACTGCCAGAATGCACTGCGCTGTACCGGACCAATAAACACTAGCACTGGTGGCTGACGTAAAGCAAATTTGGCTGCTTTGACACA